CACACACACACACACACACACACACACACACACACACACACACACACCCAAAACCTCTGGTGAAATTTTGTTTGGGGTTGTATTGAATATACCGAACAGTCTGGGGAGAGTTGACATTGTTACAATACTTAATTCTTTAATCCATAAACATGTTATATCACTCTATTTAAGTCTTCTTAAAAACTTCTCAACATTTTCTAGTTTTTTTGCGTATCAGTCTTGTACATCTTTCCTTAGTTTTATTTTGAGGTATTTGATGAATTTTGGTACAATGCATTAGGCATCAAAAAATCGATTTTCTAGTTGTTTATTGATAGTGTGTAGAAACCCAATCGATCTTTGTATATTGGTATTGTATATAGAAAACTTGCTAAATTTATTTAATTCCAGTAGTTTTTCTGAATTCTTTCCAGTGTTCTAAATACTCAATTATTTATCTGCAAATTTTGGAAGTTCTATTTTCTTTTTTCCAGACTTATACATTTTATTTCTTGTTATTACCTTATTTTAGTTTTGGAAAATTTTTGGTCATTATCTCTTCAACTATTTATTTTGTCTCATTCTTTCCCCACTATCCTTATGGAATGCATATGTTAGACCTTGTAACCATATCTCATATTATTATGCTCTGTTCATATTTTCCATTTTTAACTCTTTGAGCTTTGATCTTGAGGCTGAATATTTTATTCTGACATTTCTAATTCTCTTTATCTCTTTTCAGTTCTTTCTAGTCTGCTGCTAATTTTACCCATTGAGTTCTGCATTCCATCTCATTATTTAATCTTTTGAACATACTAATCATATTTATTTTAAAGTTCCTATCTGATAAATTTCAATAATTGCATATACTAGATTGTTTCTATTTTTTTTCCTCGTAATTAAAAAAAATCTAAACCTCTGGTTATTTTTGATTAAATCTCAGCTATTGTGTATACAATTTTGTGTAGATACTTTCAGGCTCTGGGCAATTTATCTTCTCCCAGAGAGGATTTATTTTTGCTTTTTTGGCAGGCAGTTAGGCTAGAGGTATATCCCCTTAATCCAACCAGGGAGTTAGATATTCAAAGGTTCAGTAATTTTAAGAGCTGGCCTATTTTTAGTTTACTCTCACTCTTAGGGTAGAGACATCAGGGATCCCAGCTGAAAACTTGGGGGTATTTACCAGAGTTCCTCCTCATTGTCAGTCCACTCCAAGTTTTATTCCTCCAGCTCTGTGAGACAGCTAAAATTTCTGCACAGTTTATCAGCCTCCCAGATACCCTTTTTGCATTTAGAATTGATCTATAAATTTATAAAAGAAAATCTATAAAGGAAAATAATCCCCAAATCTCAGGCCTACTTCTTTTGGTTTTTCTACTTTCTCTTCACTGCCTTTATAAAAGCTCTTACATGTTTTCAGATAGATTTAAGAAATATTTTTATTGCTGTTCTTATTATCCTCATTTTCCATGTGATAAAATAAAAGTTCATAGAGATTAAGTAACTTGGTGAAGGTCACACGGCTAGTGGGTGTTCATTCTGAGATTTCAATGGAAACGTATCTACTCTCACCAATATTTCACACTGCCTCTGCTTCAGTCAAAATAGTGACCACAGAAATCACAATAATACATTATTTTCATAATACAATTTACAGATAGTAAAGCTCAAGATATTCTTATTGACAGGTGGAACATGGACTTAAAAATTTAAGAATAGGGCTTCCCTGGTGGCGCAGTGGTTGAGAGTCCGCCTGCCGATGCAGGGGACACGGGTTCGTGCCCCGGTCCGGGAGGATCCCACATGCCGCGGAGCGGCTGGGCCAGTGAGCCATGGCCGCTGAGCCTGCGCGTCGGAGCCTGTGCTCCGCAACGGGAGAGGCCACAACACTGAGAGGCCCGCGTACAAAAAAAAAAAAAAAAAATTTAAGAATAATGTTTAAAAACAAAGCCCTGTGTTGTGGAGGTATCCTTAATTGGCATACTTTTGCTTAAGTTTGTAAATCAATGCAATTCCTTTCAGAATTAGATGGCGGGTACAAATAATGAATGAAAATTTCTTATGCTAGAGAGTACTAATTTCCCCTGTTGTCCAATTACTTCTTTATCTTTAGTTCTCTTACTAAAACTACCAATTTTTAGCTGGACACGTGGCCATCTAGCAGATGACTAGACTTTTAAGACTTCTTTGCAGCTAGGTATGGCCACATCTATGTTCCGGGCTAATGATCATTTAGCAGACGTTACAGTTGCTCTTTAAAGAGATGCCTGTGACCTCTTGATATTTTCCCCTTTCCAATTGAAGTGGTTGCAGGAGATGGAGGAAACATCTTGGACCTGATGTAGGAAACTGTGTGATGAGAATACTAGAGCAACAGAAGAGCTGACACTAGTCTACGTATACTTGGATTGTTAAATGAGAGAGAAATAAGCTACTATTTTGTTTAAGCCGTAATTATATTTGGGTCTTTCCTATACTGTAGGAACTTCAGAAATACAACATTAGCACCAAAGGAGCAAAACAGGTGGTAAAATTAGGCAAAAACAACTGAAAATTAAATGACTCTACTGAAATGGTGTTTTTGAAAGTTACAAATGAACTTTCAAATAGAATATGATGTTTTGAAAGTTTTGAAACACGGCAGACTAACCACAATGCCAACAAGGTGCACGTGGAAGAATACAGTTAGTAGTGGTGGGGAGCGTGGGGACAGGAACTACAAGCTCCATCCACAAGCAGTCAGCTCTGCTCAGTTGCTACCAGGCAGAAATGCAGGTTCAGTGTAGCCTTATCTCCTCCCCCTATCAAATAATTGGAAATACAGATACTTATGCGAAAACTCTTAAATTTGGCAATTGTGACACACTGCTAGCTGTCAATCTAATATCATTGTCCCCTTCTTGCCCAATAAAAAAAGTGCCAAGCAGCTCTTGCAAATGATGGTGGCATTGTGACAGTTCTGGTCATTGGGAGGTATAAGATGAATCACTGGTTGGGATTTTGAAGAAAGCCTTGTAAAATTAGGTTGACCCAGAGACACCTTTTGCCCTTTACGTTTTTCTTTCTCCTTGGTGTAACACTGCGAAAATACTGAGGGTAATCAGAAAACACAAATAAGGATACAAGTCACATGCTAAGGATGATGGTATTATAAAGCCAATGATGCAATGAATATCTACATGCACACATCACTTCTCATATGTGACTATATCAGAGGATAAATTCTCTTGAGAAGAGATTATTAAGTCAAAAGAATATGCATTTCACATTTGGATGGAAATAACCAAACTGTGCTGAGACTGTAGTAATTTACACTCTGACCAGTAATGTAAGTGTTTGCCTACTTCCTGCAACCTGGACAAAACTATGTAGTATAATCATTTTTGTTCTTTGTCAGTTTGATGGATGGAAGCACTTTATCAATTCAATTTGCATCACTTTTTGGATGAGGCTGTGAAAATTTTATGTATATGAGCCAAGTAATTTTCTTCATGTACTTTGTCCGTTTTCCTAGTGGGTTGTTTGGCTTTTCTTACAGATTTGTAAGGATTCTTTAGACAGTAAGAATTCATGCACCCTTTATATGTGATAAGTGCCATAAATATTTTATTACAATTTGGCTTTTGACTTTGTTTATAGTGGTTTTGCCTTGCAAAAATATTTGTTTTTACATAGTTTGTCAATCTTTTATGATTTTTACTTTTACTTAGAATGATCTTACCTACCCCATGATTATAAAGCAAATTCTTCTACACTATTTTATCTAATCTTATTTATTATTATGGTTTTATTTTTAGCATTTGAGCCTTTGACCATCTGGAATTTATTTAGTGTAAAGAGTGGGATAGGAATAAAATAATTTTAAAAATTCCAGATGGCTCACCATGTGTCCCCAAACCATTTAAGGAATATTCCATATTTTCATCACTATTACTTAAAGCCAGTGATTCACTGTAAAATATTGCATGTTTTGGCAGTTATTTCTAGATGGTATTTTGTTCCATTTGTCTAGCTATTCATTCCATGTGATTTTAATTACTGTAGCTGTATTAATATCTGATAAGGTTAGTCCTTTCTCATTCTTTTTTGGTTAGAACTTCCTGGATATTCTTGCATGGTAACTTTTCTATATTAATTTTAAAATTAGGATGTCAATTTTGAAAAAAAAAAGCCCTATTGATATTTCAACGGGCATCTTATTTCATGTATAGATTAATTTAGGAAAGGACTGGCACATTTACAATTTTGATTCTTTCCTAAAATATGGTTTATACCTTTCAATTTATTTAAAATTTTTTTGTGTCTTTCAGTAATGTTTGCAGGTTTTCTTCATAGAAATACTGCATACATTTTAAAGTTTCTTTTTAGATCTTCCTTCCTTCCATCTATTCAATACATGACTTCATACACCTAGAATTGATTTTTGTGTAGGGTGTCAGGTAGGAATGTGTGTGTGTGTGTGTGTGTGTGTATTCCCATTGTCCTAGCACCTTTTATTAGACAGCCCGTCATTTCTGATCTGATATATACTACCAGTTCTGATCTTTTATATTAGGTGTTTGTATATGTGTGGATCTGTTTCTAGGCTTTCTATTACAGTTTCACAGTTCTTGTCTTTCCTTGAGTGAGTAACGGATTGTCTAAAATTTGTTAGTTATATCTTCTTATGTTGGTCTTTTGCTCTTCCACATACATTTAGAATCAACTTGTCAAGATCTATGAAATTATCTGTTGGTATTTTTTATTATAACTGGATTGAACTTATTGATCAGTATTTCTCAGTAGGGGCTCTGGGGTTTCTAGATGGGATAATTTGTGACTAACACTGTTACAATTATTACTGAATATTAAGCATACTCCTGTAACATTAAATGCATTAATGGACATTAAATGCTATACCAACCTGAAAGCAAGCTGGCAAGGGAGATTGGGAGATGTAGACCATAGAGGTCAGTTTTTGAGGCATAGAGAAATGTAAAACATAGTGAAGAATGGATTGGGAGCTGGAAGTCCTACAGTTAAGTAGATACTGTATGTCCTTATGTGATAGTTTATCCAGTCCTTCTTTAGTTGGCTGAATTCCATCCATCAATGATTTCTTCAAGAAGGATTCATGGTAATGAACTTATGCTGAGTTTTTATGTTTTAGAAATGTTTTCGTATTATTTTTATAGTTGGATATAATTTTGATAAGTATAAAATTCTTCAGTCATAATTTTTTTCTACTTAGGATTTATAGGCTCTATTCTACTACATTTTAGAGTTGAATACTGAAGTGGAGAAATCTAATGCCACATTTATTTATTTTGTAACGTATAGGTGACTTTTTTTTTGCTCAACGGCACGATGAATTCTTTAACTCTGAAGTTCCATAACTTTTGTTAGGAAATGTCTTAATGTTTCATTCTGTATAAAACATTTCTTGAACAATTTTTACCATCAGTATATTTAATCAAATTTTTTTTAGTTCTTAAATTCTATCTTTGAATACTTTTTTCTGTCTAATTGTTCATTTTTCTTCATGGATATTATCTATGCATATTTGCATTTCTTTCATCTATCTTCTATATCTATCACTGCTCCCTAATTTTTCAAACTGTTTCTTGTTGGTTTATATTTTATTTTGCTAACATTTTTCAACCCTTTCCTCCTTGTTCCTTACTGGGTTATCAACAATATATATTTGCTCTTCCATTGGCTGCAATGAAGTTTTTTGCAATGGTTATATATTTTTTCTTACACTTTCCATCATGCTTTGAAAGCTTCTTTTACTTTTTGAAATTCTCTATTTTGCCATATATTTTCTTGAACATATTAATCAGTTTTTAAAACATATATCTCACATCTATGTCAGATAACTTTAGTATATGGCTCTCCTGATGTTCTCCTTCCATTGTCTATTTTTTAAAAAAAATTTTATTGGAGTATAGTTGATTTACAGTGTTGTGTTAGTTTTAGGTATACAGCAAATCTCCTCCTAGAGTAATGAAAATAAAACAAAAATAAACAAATGGGGTCTAATTAAACTTAAAAGCTTTTCCACAGCAAAGGAAACCATAAACAAAGCAAAAAGACAACCCTCAGAATGCGAGAAAATATTTGCAGAGGAAGCAACCAACAAGGGATTAATCTCCAAAATATACAAACAGCTCATGAAGCTCAATATCAAAAAAACAAACAACCCAATCAAAAAATGGGCAGAAGATCTAAATAGACATTTCACCAAAGAAGACATACAGATGGCCAAAAAGCACAAAGCACATGAAAAGATGCTCAACATCACTAATTATTAGAGAAATGCAAAGCTTACTCTTCATGTGTTCCCGATATCCCATTATATATTCCCTGTGTGCTTATATCATTAGATTTTTATTTTAAAAAGTTTTGGATTCATGAATATATTTACCATGATTTTCAACTACTCTGTAGAAACATTTTCTAAAATTTGATTTTCTTCTTTGTGGGAAGTTTGTGGAAATTTCCAGTGTAGAATTCAGAATAGCATGAATTCTTTATGGTTTGAAATAAAGTTCTTATAATACAGGGTTCTCTGTGTGTGTGTGTGTTCCTCTACTCCACTCTGATCAACACAGATCATGAACTGTAGTGCTGATCATAATACAACTTGTCTTCTACCCTGACTAATGACAGACTTTTCTGTACAAGAATAATGTGACTAAGTATTTCCTCATTCCTTGGGGCCCCAGCTATTCGAGGATGCCAAATGGGGTCAAGGGAAGATCCCACTACCAAGTTGGGAATTCAGTTCCTATCATTCCAAATAAAGGATTATTAGTTTTGATCTTCATGGCGAGAATCTAGGCGGAAAAAAATGATTGGTCAGGTTTGTCCAAGGTCAAAAATTATAGTTGTTTTCTTTTAGAATCTTCCTGCACTCCCACAACTTTACATTTTCTTCTTCAAACTTTATTGGATTTGGTAGCTCTTCCTCATCTGTTGTAGTCTGTGGTTATAGATGTTCATGTTTTGTTGAAGATGGCATTTAAAAAATACATTATTCTTATTCTTTGGGGGGTGATTTTTAAGCAGTGAAGGAAAACTGTAGTGGTTTGCCACCATCTAAAATTTTGAAATTCATCCTATTGAATGTACTTTGTATGATAATTTAATCACACCGCTATACCCACTGTGTATTATAAAGTAGAACTCTATACTCTATACTCATGATATATTTTAACTTCTGTTCATCTTAGATATCACCATGAAAAGTACTATCATAAAGAAAGAAAATTTATAATTTTTTCAAGGAAAATTTCTAGCTGCTTACCCCATTCTTTACCTTTTAAGACAAATTAGGAAATTAGAATTGAATTTTACTTACCTATTAAAATAACTGATCCTCTTCTCAGATATGTTCTGGAACTCCTCAGGAATCCTAAGGTATCAGCTATCAAATCTATAACATATTTCTGATGAGAAATAAGCTGAGAATAAAAAAGGAAAAAAAATTCTCTCACTTATTGAAAGAGCACATTTGCTCTCTCCAGAGAGGCTTTCAGGGAAAAGAACTTGGTTGCTTATACCAAATCAGGGCCAGTTTAAAACTTGGGGGTTTCTGTGTATGAACGTTATTCTTTTGCTTGCAGGTATTATTCAGCTTATTACATGATATCCAAAGTTTGGGTTTCCAACTTTTGCTTAACATCCTTCCATCCCCATTTGTCTATCGTTGCAGTTTATGCTGGTTTTCAGAGAACCAGCTCATTCAGCCATGGAAAAGAAATTCCAGCTTTTCTTTTGGTGATCTGAAATGTTGCTACCTTTACACTGCTCAAAGTAGGTAGGTTGGAGGAAGAAACGATAGATGGAAAATGTTGAGGAAAAGAGAGTGGAAATTTTTAATTTTCTCTTGTCTCAAGTTCTAACTATAATTGTTCATTTATCTTTTCTTTATATTCCTTGCTCATCATGCTTTTCATCACTTTGGATATCCTTTAAAGTTCCTCCTATAACTCTTGTGGTAGTAAACCCTGAGGGATCACTTACAAGATTGTTACAGATGTTGAGCACTACCAGCTCAAAACTGTAATGTTCATCCTTGAGCAAATATGATGTTGCCCATTTTAATTCTGAGGCACAGATTTCTAATGTATATTTACATGCCTGTGAAGTAGAAAAAGGTCAGTAAAAATCTATTCATCTGGTGTTACATAAAGCACTGCGATTCTCAGCAAAACTAAGAAAAACAAAATCACAGGACTTACTTTAACTACTCTTGCCTCTGTATCTTCCAGAAACAGAATCAGAGGCACCAAGCCTCCGAAAACCACATCATTCAGCATCCACGTGTACTGACTCATGTCCCTGAGTAACTCACCAAAGTGTCGAATGGCCATACTCCGAATGCCTCCATTACTCTGAAATATGCACACAGAAAAGACCTCATTTGAGGATATTTATATATATGCACACACACTATATACTATATATACTATGTATACTTATATACACTATATAGTATATATATTTATACGTATATATACTATATATGATGTGTCTATATGTATATATATGATTTTTTTTTTTTTTTTTTTGCGGTACGCGGGCCTCTCACTGCTGTGGCCTCTCCTGTTGCAGAGCACAGGCTCCGGATGCACAGACCCAGCGGCCATGGCTCACGGGCCCAGCCGCTCCGCGGCATGTGGGATCTTCCCGGACCAGGGCATGAACCCTTGTCCCCTGCATTGGCAGGCGGACTCTCAACCACTGCGCCACCAGGGAAGCCCGTATATATATAATTATTATCATTTATTTTTAGAAAAGATTCAGTTTGGGTCTAAGAAGTCTAAGGGTCTAAGAAGATTCAGTTTGGGTCTAAGAAGTCTAAGGGTCTAAGAAGATTCACTTTGGGTCTAAGCTTGTCTTTTGATTTTAAAATAAGACTTGCTTACCAAAATTCAGATTACCTTAAAGAAAATCCCCTGTGAAAAGTGAGTTTCTTAAATTTAGGAAGATAGTATTTAATAACATCCTAAAATTATAACATGTAAAAATCTATATAACTTGGAGATGATTTCTGTAATACTTAGGGTAATGTGACCATGATGTCTTCAAATGCTGGAGGACTTTGCAGAATTGCCAGTGAATACCAATGCAAGTTCTTTGCATAATGGCATAGTACTAGGTTTCCAAGGGCTTACTTATGCCAAATAGGAAGGTGATTGGATTATAAAGATTCCAGAAGAGAAAAATTTCAAGTCAGAGGAAGAGGTTAATTTTTTAAAATATAATATCACCTTCAGTTTTTAAAAAAAGTTTATGATTCCATTTTGAAAATAATTCTTTACATGGGCATGCCAACTACTTATTAGCCGTGTGAACTTGGCCAAATATTCATTTCAGTTTTCCTCAGTTTCCTTATATGTAAACTGGATAATAGCAATAGAGTTTGTTAGAGGATTATGTGAAATTGTCCATGTAAATCCCTTAAAATAGTGCCTGGTACATAGTAAACGCTCAATACATTTTAGCCACTATTATTATTACTATTCTTATTATGTCCTTATGAAAATATTTTCTGCCACTGTTTCCTTTTTCTATAGTTTAATAATATTGGGCCTTTCTTCAATGAAATCTGCAGAACTAAGAAGTTACACATTTTGGCAAGATAATTTACTATGAAATAATTCTCTGGTTCACAAACACTCATCAAAGGAATCTTTAAAAACAAATAGATTTCCCATACCATACCAAAATGTTCTTGTTTATTAAAATACTATATTACTGTCATCCAACTTTTCTGGAACACGTTTACCATAAAAAATGAGAATTTTCAAAATGTACAACTTTCTGATGAAATACTTTCTAATTAAAGTTTTCTATGAAAATACCATATTCATTTGGGGCATTACACATGTCAACTCTAATACCCATAATATGCCTGCTATTCACTCTCTTTTACAGATGATGCACTAAGAGACTGAACCACCTGCTCAAGATTTCACAGCTAGTCAGTGGCAGCACAGGGATTTGAACCTAGGAAGTCCAGATTCAGGGTTAACAAACACAGCCACTAAACTATAATTCCTCTTTCATCTAAGAACAGAGGCTACATTTTGATTCTCTTTTCCTATGGGCAGACTTTTCCAGGTTCTCATAGTGTAGTTTAAAAACAAACATAGAGCTTACTTGATTAATATTATTATCTCTGGAAAAAAAAAAAGGTAGCTCTGCACAAAATGACTGCCTTTTGTTGACTTATTCTGGGATGTAATAGCATTGCCTTACCTGGGGCTTCAGCTTAATGATAAAACCTAATGATCTCATATATCTATGTAACTCACATGATCCATCAAAGAACAGTAGCTGCAAGCAATTCTGGTACACAGGGAGGAGTAGGTCACCTTGTCCAGTTTGCCTAAAAGTCTTCGAAGGGTCATCAAGGCCCGAATTACAACAGTCTTGTCTTGGGAAAGGAAGGCATCCAGGATGGCTATTAATAAGCTGCAGACATTTTCTATCTATATGTAAAAGGAAGAAAATGGTGGGATTTAAGAACTAGAAGGAGACTTGAGGTAGCTTTGGTACACACACCTCTGCGTTTGGGCAGTATGCAGTGATGTGCTGGAGCTAGCTTACAAGAGTCAATTGCCAAATTGTCAAAAATTTTGCAAGCTGATCATTAAAAGTCACTATTAAAAATTAAATTTTATAAATTTAGAAATAAAAACAATGGTAATAAATACTGAAGACTCATCACGTCCCGTTCTTTTGCTACATTTTGCTCTTTTATGCCTTTGAGGTTATTTACATGTAGTGTATCTGTATGGTGGGGATATTAAATAATGATGCACTACTGTGCATCTCCTCCCAAATCCATGTCTACTGATGTCCCTTTGATAGATTGAAATCATCCATAGTGGGAGTATTTACACCAGAGAAATTGGTCTTATTTTCACAGAGCTGCTTGTTTAAACATTTACCAACACACCACTGGCAGTATAACCTCGAAACTAGGTGACAATGACCTGTTTGGACATGAGAGCCACTGAGCTGCTGAGCTAGGTCATGGGCATCAACTGCAGATCAGAGACAAGCAGAATATCAGGCAATTAAAGCATGAAAAGGAGACACAAAAGGAGTGAAAGAAAGGCTGGAAAGAAAGGAAGTAAAAGAAATAAATAATATTTGCCAAAATAACAGCCAGAGGGCACTTGTGTCTGGCTGGAGTTTTTACCAATAGATAGTATGTGAAACCTCAAAACAGATCCCTCTCCACTGTTTCTTTCCCACTTTCCTAGACAACTTTGTTACATTGTTAATCGCATTGGTAAGAGGACTAGACAAGGCAATAACTAACTTTCTGTTCACAATACATCCTATTGTATGATTTATCTAAAGCAAATAAACTATGGCTCATTTCGTTCTAAATGCAAAATGAGTGCCCACTGACAGGCTTTAAGCTTTCAGAGACTATGCTTAATGGATATACTAGGATTTATTATTAAATTTATTATTAAATCAGTAATAATTTATGGAATATCTACAGTCTCAGCATTGTGCAGGCTACTTTGAAATTTACAAAAGAATTACAACACATAGGTGTATGCATTGACACACTCTTCCTGGAAGGCAAGAAGTATTCACATGACTTAGTGGGAAATGATATAGGACAGTAGTTCTCAAGTTCAACCTGCATTAGAATTACCTGGAGGACTTTTGAAAACATAGATTGGTGGGCACAACCCCCAGGATTTCTGATTCCATAGGCCTGTGATAGGGCCTGACAGTATGCTTTTTTTTTTTTGCGGTACGTGGGCCTCCCACTGTTGTGGCCTCTCCCGTTGCGGAGCACAGGCTCCAGACGCACAGGCTCAGCGGCCATGGCTCACGGGCCCAGCCGCTCCGCGGCATATGGAATCTTCCCGTACCGGGACACGAACCCGTGTCCCCTGTATCGGCAGGCGGACTCTCAACCACTGCGCCACCAGGGAAGTCCGACAGTGTGCATTTTTAACAAATTTCCAAAAGACTCTGATGCTGTTGGTTCAAGAGTCATAGGTAGAGAGCCATAAATATGAAATATTATATAAGCAAGTGCTTATAGTTGGTGTGGCCCTGAAAGGGTTGAGGCTGCTAGAGACCAGAATATCCAGTGAAGTTCAACTTGAGCTGATCATTGGAAAATAAGAAAAATGTGAATGGGTGAAGGAGGAAAGTGGTATAAAGGAAGAAAAAGCTTGAGCGAGTGCTCTGAGACAGGAAATTAATGTGTATGCATGTGTGTATGTTGGAGTGGAAAATAACGTATGTGTGGTTTAGAGTGTAACAAGAGTGTTCATGTAGAGCAATGCTGATAAATTCTGAGTGTAATGAGTGATTTTCTGGGAAAAATATAAATAAGGTGATAAAGCCAATAAATTGACTTAACACATCCTTTCCATTCAACCCAGTTTCCTTACTGATAAAACGCACAGCTTTGATATTGTGTTAGTGATGTATAAACTAAAAAATAATCAGTGTTTTGTCAGTAAGGATACTGAGTTCTACCAAATCTCAGATTATGAGTTCGATGGTGCTGGCAGACACAGATCACACACACACATACCTCGTTGATAACCGGTGCCATGCTGGCAATCTTCTGAAGGCTCAGTTTGCTAACTGCAGGATCAGAGTCATTGACCCAGTTTCTGAAGAGAACCAAAAATTCTTCTGGGAATGGGTCCTTGAAGAAATTATTGAGAAGCTAAAAGAAAACAATTAAGTTCATAGGCAGAGTAATGGCCAGGCATTGTTCTTGCTTCAGTCATAAAAATCAAGACATTTTCAGTAAAACAAACACAAATCACACTAAAACTCTAAATACTTACACATATTTTTACATATATTTCTGTGCCCATAGAGGGAAGGAGAAGTAGCAGATGGAATAGGAAATACATGCTTTGTTTTATATATATGATGAAAGAAATTTTCACATGTGGAATAACAGAGTTTACGTTAACTTTTTACACTTTTATGTTGCCTCATCTTTCTCTTACCTGGAAAACCGTGGTGCCTAATAGCATTAATATGTTTACTTATTTGTTTTCTACCATATAATGCATATACTAGTCTTAAAATTATGATATCAACACATATAACATCAATAAACCTCCTGAGGAAAAATAAATATTTCTTTACAGATGTTTTTTGTCCTTGCAATTTATCTCACTAAGGATGTACAAAGCACAGTGTTCATGTATTACTTGATCTTTCACAAATCTGTGGTGTGTGTGTGTGTGTGTGTGTGTGAGAGAGAGAGAGAGAGAGAGAGAGAGAGAAGCATACAATTCACAGAGAAAGACACTAAGATCATAATAGTTAAATAGGTAAAGGAAAGATCAGGTTGTTCATAATATGGAACTTTATAAATAATATTTTAAAAATGTTCAAACTCTCTAAAATTTTAAACAATAAGTACAAATCAAATCACCCCACAGGACATCACATCTGCCTCACACATTGGAAAGCTTGTTCATGGTGGTGAGAGTGCTGTGGGGTAAGCAGACCCACGAGCTGTGTGGGGAGCTCTGATTGGCACTGCTTTCCAGATAGCGGTTTGGTGTTAAAAATCCTTAGCCTTGAGAATGTTTATACGCTTTGGTTATTATTTCAGATTCTTGGAATCTATTATAAGAAAATAATCGAAAATACCAAAAGAAAGAAGATTTAGGCACAAAGATGTAAACTTGATTACTCTTTATATCAGTAGAACTTGATTGCTATTTATATCAGTAGAAAACTAGAAATAACAAATATATATAAATAAATGGCATAGGCATTGGTAATACTATCTTAGGTATCACTGGCTGATAAGACCAAAATAAGGTAAAATGCATAGACTGTGTGTTCAGAACAACAAAAGGCCAAGGGACCTCACAGTTGAACTGGAAAGTTGACGATTGCCCAGAATTTCTAAACAGAGAAAAGTGGTGGGAGAGTGTGGTCATTGCTGAGTTCCTGGAAAGATAGGCATGCCAATCTCCAGTAGCAGGAAGCATTACATTCATGATGAGAGAGGCAACTAGGCTTCCATCTAGGTATATTAATGATGCTTACATAAATCTTATGTAGTTTGTAAATTTCTTTTAAATGTAGCATTTTATGGAAGGGATTTTGTATCTCATGTTTAGACCTTTTTGGTGTTTGTACATACTTAAAGGGTAGTACAATAAAAATAATGAGTCACATAATAAAATAATGAGAGGTTCAAATGGATTAAGCAAGTTAGAAAAATACTGATTTGCTACTGCAATGTTAAGTTAAACTAATTCATGTATCCTTGTGAAAGCTTTAGAAGTATATAGTAGGGCTTCCCTGGTGGCGCAGGGGTTGAGGGTCCGCCTGCCGATGCAGGGGACACGGGTTTGTGCCCCGGTCTGGAAGGATCCAACATGCCGCGGAGTGGCTGGGCCCGTGAGCTCATGGCCACTGAGCCTGCGCGTCCGGAGCCTGTGCTCCGCAACGGGAGAGGCCACAACAATGAGAGGCCCGCGTACCAAAAAAAAAAAAAAAAAAAAAGAAGAAAAAACGAAGTATATAGTATACTGTATGGGTATGCCTTTTATAGTTTATTAACTATTTTGACATGAAGTTTGAAATGTAAAACTTTTGGGAATATTTGGCATCGTACCTTAGATCAATACTTCCTTATTATATATTACTTTTATGGAAAATTAGATTTGACTCAGATAATTTCAATTTATAGAACGTTTTACATGCCTTTTGTAAGCAAAAGTACTGCCTCAATTTGCTTAACTCTGGTATGGCATTCCAATATTTGATGTAATATTCATATACAAAGTAATATAGTTCTATATCTTCATGTTACCCAGTTATTTAGCCCATTCCTTTTTTCCCCTAGGCAGTCTGAAGTATCGTTTAGACACTAGATGTTACCTACCACCTTTAGTAAACTTAATTATCCCTATATACTTTAAGAAGCTTGTAAAGAAATATGAACTAGGACTACAAAAATAATTAGTTTGTGCAAATCCGCACCCCCTAGGAAACTACAAAGGCCAACTCCTGAAACAGTCTAAAGGGACAACCCTTTCATAAATCTATCTTCGCCTTACACCCCTCAGCTTCAGATATCTGTTATTGTCTTAACTTTTGGTAAGAATCAATATTCGGAGAGGGAGACAAAACATTAGAGAGTTGATTTAAGTTTGGATGAGGAAAGGGAATGAGAACTTGGTTGTTCACAGTCTCGTAATAAAACTCACTTCAGTGAGGAATATTATTGTGATGACGTTGTCTTCTGGCCTTCTAGGACCTTCCACTGAGAGCTTATAGAGATAATGCAAGGTGTCTGGAAACTGTGGAAAGTTATAGTCACTGAGAGTTCTGTGAAGAAGAATAAAGCACTGAATTAGCAAAGAAGATGAAAACACTTTCTGCATCAGCAAATGCTAATGGTAGAAAAGAGGGAAACATTATCCTCATATTTTGTATCACCAGATAAAAAGAAAGATATTCTTGAATATTCCTTAATCCAAGGTAAACTGCGGGCTCAGTATGAGTTCTACGCAGACTCTGTGGATAAAAGTCCTCTTCTATTATACTTTCCCAAATTTATCTCATTGGGTACAGGTTTTTATCAGACCTCTTTAAAGTGGGAGCACATGTCTGATGCCTGCAGAGAAGGAATCAGTTAACAACAGAGGAAGGAAAAAGCAGATTCACCTCTAGTTCTCCATATCTGTTCTGTGGAGGGAGAATAATTTGGTGTCTACATCACTAGGTAAGAGAGCAAGGCAAGGAAAAGTAAAACCCCCCAAAATAAGTGAAAAAGTAGAAGTCAAATGGCAATTCAGATCATTAGGAGAGATTTGGAAGTTGGAGTGGCTATTGACTGTGTTCCCACAGTGGCTTAGTCGAAGAGAGATGAAACAGGTGGGAAAGAGACAGAGAACATTTCTCAATGCCCCTGTTCTTACTTGGCAACAAGGTAGACTCCATGATGGTGAAACAGTGCTTGGGAAAACTGGTTCCAACAATTCTTTCTCTTTAGAGCAATATCCACTTGTTGCAGTCCAGAACAATTCAGCAGAACTCTCAGTGCATCTCGAGCATAGCTAAGGTCCCAAAGAAGAGGAGAGTCATCACCTGCAAGTGGCCTTCACATAACTAGATACAAGTGATTATTTGCCTTTTCATTCTATGTTGGGCAGGATGCCAGTTTTGGGAAAGGGGGGTGTTTCAAAGGAAAAGACCATTAAATGCTCTTAATCTCCCCTGATTAACAGGACATGGGATGCGGGGTTAAACTGAAATTGTAGCATGTAAAATCTAGGATTAATCATAGAGCAGCTTATTAGTTTATTAAAAGCTTGTTAGCAAAAGATGTTAAGTGATGTGAAGACGTGCTAAAGGTGCCTGTTGATTGTCTTCTTTGAATGCTTTAAATAAATAGAATACATTCTTATCTACTTGGGATGATTTGGTGTCTGTCTGCTTGAAAGACAGAGAGTGGATTAAATATCTTAATGGGATTGTGTTTTAGAGTCCTGCCTGACTTAGAAGTCCACACCAGATGAGGGCAAATAGCAGAAAGTTGGGTCCTGATTTCCCTGGAGAGCAGGGAAGCTTACTGTAATCTCTTGGGCAAAAGAGAAGAGCTGAACCTTACCTTATGTGGACAGAATGACTGCATGCTATCATAAGCCCACACATCACATCACCAACCGCAAAATAAATTTACAGTTCACAAAGCACATTTGTGCACATTATTTATTTATTTATTTTTTTAACATCTTTCTTGGGGTATAATTGCTTTACAATGGTGTGTTAGTTTCTGCTTTATAACAAAGTGAATCAGTTATACATATACATATGTTCCCATATCTCTTCCCTCTTGCGTCTCCCTCCCTCCCACCATCCCTATCCCACCCCTCCAGGCTGTCACAAAGCACCAAGCCAATATCCCTGTGCCATGTGGCTGCTTCCAACTAGCTATCTACCTTACTACGTTTGTTAGTGTGTATATGTCCATGACTCTCTCTCGCCCTGTCACAGCTCACCCTTCCCCCTCCCCATAACCTCAAGTCCGTTCTCTAGGAGGTCTGCGTCTTTATTCCTGCCTTACCCCTAGGTTCTTCATGACATTTTTTTTTTTCTTAAATTCCATATATATGTGTTAGCATACGGTATTTGTCTTTTTCTTTCTGACTTACTTCACTGTGTATGACAGACTCTAGGTCTATCCACCTCATTACAAATAGCTCAATTTCGTTTCTTTTTATGGCTGAGTAATATTCCATTGTATATATGTGCCACATCTTCTTTATCCATTCATCCGATGACGGGCACTTAGGTTGTTTCCATCTCCGGGCTATTGTAAATAGAGCTGCAATGAACATTTTGGTACATGACTCTTTTTGAATTTCGGTTTTCTCAGGGTATATGCCCAGTAGTGGGATTGCTGGGTCATATGGTAGTTCTATTTGTAGCTTTTTAAGGAACCTCCATACTGTTCTCCATAGTGGCTGAACCAATTCACATTCCCACCAGCAGTGCAAGAGTGTTCCCTTTTCTCCACACCCTCTACAGCATTTATTGTTTCTAGATTTTTTGATGATGGCCATTCTGACTGGTGTGAGATGATATCTCATTGTAGTTTTGATTTGCATTTCTCTAATGATTAATGATGTTGAGCATTCTTTCATGTGTTTGTTGGGAGTCTGTATATCTTCTTTGGAGAAATGTCTATTTAGGTCTTCTGCCCATTTTTGGATTGGGTTGTTTGTTTTTTGTTATTGAGCTGCATGAGCTGCTTGTAAATTTTGGGGATTAATCCTTTGTCGGTTACTTCATTTGCAAATATTTTCTCCCATTCTGAGGGTTGTCTTTTGGTCTTCTTTATGGTTTCCTTTGCTGTGCAAAAGCTTTGAGTTTCATTAGGTCCCATTTGTTTATTTTTGTTTTTATTTCCATTACTCTAGGAGGTGGGTCAGAAAGGATCTTGCTGTGATTTATGTCATAGAGTGTTCTGCCTATGTTTTCCTCTAAGAGTTTGATAGTTTCTGGCCTTATATTTAGGTCTTTAATCCATTTTGAGCTTATTTTTGTGTATGGTGTTAGGGAGTGATCTAATTTCATACTTTTACATGTACCTGTCCGGTTTCCCAGAACCACTTATTGAAGAGGCTGTCCTTTCTGCACTGTACATTCCTGCCACCTTTATCAAAGATAAGGTGTCTATATGTGCATGGGTTTATCTCTGGGCTTTCTATCCTGTTCCATTGATCTATCTTTCTGTTTTTGTGCCACTACCATACCGTCTTGATAACTGTAGCTTTGTAATATAGTCTGAAGTCAGGGAGCCTGATTCCTCCACTTCCTTTTTTCGTTCTCAAGATTGCTTTGGCTATTCGGGGTCTTTTGTGTTTCCATACAAATTGTGAAATTTTTTGTTCTAGTTCTGTGAAAAATGCCAGTGGTAGTTTGATAGGGATTGCATTGAATCTGTAGATTGCTTTGGGTAGTATAGTCATCTTCACAATGTTGATTCTTCCAATCCAAGAACATGGTATATCTCTCCATCTATTTGTATCATCTTTAATTTCTTTCATCAGTGTCTTATAATTTTCTGCATACAAGTCTTTTGTCTCCTTAGGTAGGTTTATTCCTAGATATTTTATTCTTTTTGTTGCAGTGGTAAATGGGAGTGTATTCTTGATTTCACTTTCAGATTTTTCATCATTAGTATATAGGAATGCCAGAGATTTCTGTGCATTAATTTTGTATCCTGCCACTTTACCAAATTCATTGATTAGCTCTAGTAGTTTTCTGGTAGCATCTTTAGGATTCTCTATGTATAGGATCATGTCATCTGCAAACAGTGACAGCTTTACTTCTTCTTTTCCGATTTGGATTCCTTTTATTTCCTTTTCTTCTCTGATTGCTGTGGCTAAAACTTCCAAAACTATGTTGAATAAGAGTGGTGAGAGTGGGCAACCTTGTCTTGTTCCTGATCTTAGTGGAAATGCTTTCAGTTTTTCACCATTGAGGATGATGTTTGCTGTGGGCTTGTCATATATGGCCTTTATTATGTTGAGGAAAGTTCCCCCTATGCCTACTTTCTGCAGGGTTTTTATCATAAATGGGTGTTGAATTTTGTCAAAAGCTTTCTCTGCATCTATTGAGATGATCATATGGTTTTTCTCCTTCAATTTGTTAATATGGTGTATCACGTTGATAGATTTGCGTCTATTGAAGAATCCTTGCATTCCTGGAATAAACCCCACTTGATCGTGGTGTATGATCCTTTTAATGTGCTGTTGGATTCTGTTTGCTAGTATTTTGTTGAGGATTTTTGCATCTATGTTCATCAGTGATATTGGCCTGTAGTTTTCTTTCTTTGTGACATCCTTGTCTGGTTTTGGTATCAAGGTGATGGTGGCCTCGTAGAAGGAGTTTGGAAGTGTTCCTCCCTCTGCTATATTTTGGAAGAGTTTGAGAAGGATAGGTGTTAGCTCTTCTCTAAATATTTGATAGAATTCGCCTGTGAAGCCATCTGGTCCTGGGCTTTTCTTTGTTGGAAGATTTTTAGTCACAGTTTCAATTTCAGTGCTTGTGATTGGTCTGTTCATATTTTCTATTTCTTCCTGATTCAGTCTTGGCAGGTTGTGCATTTCTAAGAATTTGTCCATTTCTTCCAGATTGTCCATTTTATTGGCATAGAGTTGCTTGTAGTAATCTCTCATGATCTCTTTTATTTCTGCAGTGTCAGTTGTTACCTCTCCTTTTTCATTTCTAATTCTATTGATTTGAGTCTTCTCCCTTTTTTTCTTGATGAGTCTGGCTAGTGGTTTATCTATTTTGTTTATCTTCTCAAAGAATGAGCTTTTAGTTTTATTGATCTTTGCTATTGTTTCCTTTATTTCTTTTTCATTTATTTCTGATCTGATTTTTATGATTTCTTTCCTTCTGCTAGCTTTGGGTTTTTTTTGTTCTTCTTTTTCTAATTGCTTGAGGTGCAAGGTTAGGTTGTTTATTCTAGATGTTTCCTGCTTCTTAAGGTGGGCTTGTATTGCTATAAACTTCCCTCTTAGAACTGCTTTTGCTGCATCCCACAAGTTTTGGGTCGTTGTGTCTCCATTGTCATTTGTTTCTAGGTATTTTTTGATTTCCTCTTTGATTTCTTCAGTGATCACTTCATTATTAAGTAGTGTATTGTTTAGCCTCCATGTGTTTGTATTTTTTACAGATCTTTTCCTGTAATTGATATCTAGTCTCATGGCATTGTGGTCAGAAAAGATACTTGATACAATTTCAATTTTCTTAAATTTACCAAGGCTTGATTTGTGACCCAAGATATGATCTATCCTGGAGAATGTTCCATGAGCACTTGAGAAAAATGTGTATTCTGTTGTTTTTGGATGGAGTGTCCTATAAATATCAATTAAGTCCATCTTGTTTAATGTATCATTTAAAGCTTGTGTTTCCTTATTTATTTTCATTTTGGATGATCTGTCCATTGGTGAAAGTGGGGTGTTAAAGTCCCCTACTATGAATGTGTTACTGTCGATTTCCCCTTTTATGGCTGTTAGTATTTGCCTTATGTATTGAGGTGCTCCTATGTTGGGTGCATAAATATTTACAATTGTCATATCTTCTTCTTGGATCGATCCCTTGATCATTATGTAGTGTCCTTCTTTGTCTCTTTTAATAGTCCTTATTTTAAAGTCTATTTTGTCTAATATGAGAATTGCTACTCCAGCTTTCTTTTGATTTCCATTTGCATGGAATATCTTTTTCCATCCCCTTACTTTCAGTCTGTATGTGTCTCTAGGTCTGAAGTGGGTCTCTTGTAGACAGCATATATATGGGTCTTGTTTTTGTATCCATTCAGCTAATCTGTGTCTTTTGGTGGGAGCATTTAGTCCATTTACATTTAAGGTAATTATCGATATGTATGTTCCTATTCCCATTTTCTAAATTGTTTTGGGTTCGTTATTATAGATCTTTTCCTTCTCTTGTGTTTCTTGCCTAGAGAAGATCCTTTAGCAGTTGTTGTAAAGCTGGTTTGGTGGTGCTGAACTCTCTCAGCTTTTGCTTGTCTGTAAAGGTTTTAATTTCTCCATCAAATCTGAATGAGATCCTTGCTGGGTAGAGTAGTCTTGGCTGCATGTTTTTCTCCTTCATCACTTTCAGTATGTCCTGCCACTCCCTTCTGGCTTGTAGGGTTTCTGCTGAGAGATCAGCTGTTAACCTTATGGGGATTCCCTTATGTGTTATTTGTTGTTTTTCCCTTGCTGCTTTTAATATGTTTTCTTTGTGTTTAATTTTTGACAGTTTGATTAATATGTGTCTTGGTGTATTTCTCCTTGTATTTATCCTGTATGGGACTCTCTGTGCTTCCTGGACTTGATTAACTATTTCCTTTCCCATATTAGGGAATTTTTCAACCAGAATCTCTTCAAATATCTTTTCAGTCCCTTTCTTTTTCTCTTCTTCTTCTGGAACCCCTATAATTCGAATGTTGGTGCATTTAATGTTGTCCCAGAGGTCTCTGAGACTGTCCTCAGTTCTTTTCATTCTTTTTTCTTTATTCTGCTCTGCAGTAGTTATTTCCACTATTTTATCTTCCAGGTCACTTATCCGTTCTTCTGCCTCAGTTATTCTGCTATTGATCCCATCTAGAGTACTTTTAATTTCATTTAGTGTGTTGTTCATCGTTGTTTGTTTCATCTTTAGTTCTTCTAGGTCCTTGTTAACTGATTCTTGCATTTTGTCCATTCTATTGTCCATTCTATCTCCATGATTTCGGATCATCCTTACTATCATTATTCTGAATTCTTTTTTAGGTAAGCTGCCTATTTCCTCTTCATTTGTTAGGTCTGGTGCATTTTTATCTTGCTCCTTTATCTGCTGTGTGTTTTTCTGTCTTCTCATTTTGCTTACTGTGTTTGGGGTCTCCTTTTTGCAGGCTGCAGGTTCGTAGTTCCTGCTGTTTTTGATGTCTGTCTCCAGTGGCTAAGGTTGGTTCAGTGGGTTGTGTAGGTTTCCTGGTGGAGGGGACTAGTGCCTGTGTTGTGGTGGGTGAGGCTGGATCTTGTCTCTCTAGTGGGCAGGTTCACGTCTGGTGGTGTGTTTGGGGTGTCTGTGGCCTTATTATTATTTTAGGCAGCCTCTCTGCTAATGGGTGGGGTTGTGTTCCTGTCTTGCTAGTTGTTTGGCATAGGTTGTCCAGCACTGTGGCTTGCTGGTCGTTGAGTGAAGCTGGGTGCTGGTGTTAAGATGGAGGTCTCTGGGAGATTTTCGCCGTTTGATATTATGTGGAGCTGGGAGGTCTCTTGTTGACCAGTGTCCTGAAGTTGGCTCTCCTACCTCAGAAGCAGAGCCCTGCCTCCTGGCTGGAGCACCAAAAGCTTTTCATCCACACGGCTCAGAATAAAAGGGAGAAAAAGTAGAGGGAATTAGTAGAAGTATGAGGAAAGAAAGAAGGAAAGGAGGGAAGGAAGGAAGGAAGAAAGAAAGAAAGAAGCAAAGAAGGAAAGAAGGGAAGAAAGGAGGGAGGGAGCGAGGGATGGAGGAAGGAAGGAGGGAAAGAAGGAAAAAAGACAGAAAGAAAGAAGATACAGTAAAAATAAAATAAAGTATAATAAAATTATTGAATTAAAAAATTCTTATTTAGAAAAAAAAGAAGAGACGGATAGAACCTTAGGACAAATGTTGGAAGCAAAGCTATACAGACAAAATCTTACACAGAAGCATACACATACACCCTCACTAAAAGAGGTAAAGGGGGAAAAATCATAAATCTTGCTGTCAGAGACCACCTCCTCAATTTGGGATGATTCGTTGTCTTTTGGGAGGTCTGAGGTCTTCTGCCAGCGTTCAGTAGGTGTTCTGTAGGAGTTGTTCTACGTGTAGATGTATTTCTGGTGTATCTGTGGGGAGGAAGGTGATCTCCGCGTCTTACTCTTCCGCCATCTTCCACTACTGTTTGTGTGCACATTATTTTTACCTTACACGTAATTTACCCTGAGAGATCACTATCAGAGTAAATGGCAGAGCTAGTACATGTCTGGTTTTGGACCTGTTTTTCCTCCCTACTCTCTCTCTGCGTGGTGGCTTCCCTTTGTGGCAGGAATAAACCGTGTTCTGTGGGAGTGGTTTTTTATATACTGCATACACATTCAGGGAAGGTCCCAGCTTACTTCTAGGTACTTAGGATAGTTACTTTTCCAAAGGCATCCTACCCTGCAGAGGAGAGAAAACTGTAATAAATGAATATACTGCACAAGGGATTATATAGTTCCACGTGAACCCAAGGGAGTAGAAATATTTGACAGCTGGAAGCTCATTTCTTATACCACTAGTATCTCACAAAGTCCTGTCCTCTGTCATCAGTCTCAGGTTGCTAGTGTAATAGAGTTGAAGCATGAGGGCCATCAAGAGCTGGGGGAAAAACTGGGCCACCGCTTTCTTGTAAGAACCAATAGGCAGCAATGTGCACAGGGCCTGGGATGCCTATAAGGGAAGGAAAAAGGAGTCAAGAATGTAACCATCTCCCTTTAAACCCAGTCAGCAGTGGTGAGGTGGGTGGAAAGGCAGGGATTCTGCAACTTCTCCCCCAAATTCCTTGAAGGAAGCCTGAAGCATGCATGTGTATTCATTCATTCAATAACAGTTACTCAGTCCATTTTGAAGCAGGAACTGCACCAAGCATTCTCTGACCATGGGCTCCCAAATCGCTATCAACAGTGCCTGATTGCCAAACCAGCAGGAAGCAAGCTGATTCTCAAGGAAGGCATACCTCCCAAGGCTCCATGCCTATGTGCTCATGAAGAATAGTCTTGCCAGTAACCCAGGTCCTCCCAGTGCTTCAACAATCCAGGGCAGTGAAATATTTAAGGAGGGGCATGCCAGGTCAACTAACAAATTTTTTGGTCTACTGACCACTACAATACCCACTCTATCAGAGAAACACATCTCACCACCTCACATTTGTGGAGGATTATCCAGTTTTTCCCCTCTTATATGTCTGCAAGACTTGAATTTACTCCCAGGAGTGGCGATTTGGGTGCTTGGGAGATATATAACGATGGACACAAATGAGGTTTGGCCTTCACATGCCTATCAAGAGTCTGTGTGATCTGGCTGGTGGCTACCTCTCTGATACCATCTCCTACACCTTCACCCTTGCTCAGTACTCTCCAGATGTTTTGGCCTCCTTGCTTCACTGATATACCAGGTAAGCTCCCGTCACCACGTGGCTTCTGCCCTTCTCTCTGTCTAGAACTCTCATGCCCAGATATCTGCAAGGATCACTCCCTCACCTCATTCATGTCTCTGATTCGATGTCACTGCAGCAGAGAGACCTGCCCTGACCAATTTACCTAAACCTTCCCTGCCAGTTTCTTTTCCCCACCCCACTTTATATCTCTTCTAAGCTTTGTATCATCTGACACATAACACATTTTTTTGGTTCATTGTCTGTGTCTCTTACAAGAATGTAAGCTTCATGATCGAGGTGTGACATGTAGTAGGCATTCAATAAATATGTGTTGAGTGAATGAATGAGAGCCAGATTGTGTCAAGGAAGTATGACTCAGACTGCGAGCAGATAGGGATTTTCACGACTAAGAAAACAACACCAGGAAAAAGAAACACTCATTGTATTATTTACCGCCACGGGCATCATGTTAGTAGTGTCAAGAGAGAAATGTCTTCTTTCCGTTTTTCTGTCTTCCATTGTCCCAGGCTTTCCTTTCAGTATCAACAAGATTGTCTTCAGCACAAGTGGAGCCACACTTGACTCAGAACCAGCCGCCTGCCACATCAGCATCAGAGTGCTGCAAACACAGCCCCCCATCCCCGATAATGAAAATCATACGTTTTTCATTTCCTACTCAACACTGTGACACAAATCAGGAAAAGAGTCTTGGTTTTACATCTTTATAGTGCGAAGAAACTGCAGACAAGTCCAAAACTAACTGATATTCCCATTTCCAAATGATCCCATTAAGTTTCTTGTCCTTGAAAACAGGGGAAGAATTTCAGTATGGTCTTGTGGAAAATACAGACTGTAAGTCTGCAAGTTCATTTCCTACTGCTATTTAAATACCTGTCCAGCTCAATATCAGGAACTGATCAGCTTTCTGTACTCCATACTCTTCCCTCCCACCTTGTGACCTTGTTTGTCTAGGGATAATAGAGTATTTAAAAACTGGTACGGAAATACAAATTAATATATAAATAAATATATCAATTAAAAAAACTAGGTAAAAAGCTAACTAAATTAAAGAAAAACTACATAACTCAAAAATTAGAAAATTAAATTTAAAAACTAGGGCTTCCCTGGTGGCGCAGTGGTTGAGAGTCCGCCTGCCGATGCAGGAGACACGGGTTCGTGCCCCGGTCCGGGAAGATCCCACATGCCGCGGAGTGGCTGGGCCCGTGACCCATGGCCACTGAGCCTGCGTGTCCAGAGCCTGTGCTCTGCAGCGGGAGAGGCCACAACAGTGAGAGAGGCCCGCGTACCGCAAAAAAAACAAAACAAAACACTGAGCCATTTCCCCAAATGTCACACATATAGTCAGTGACACAGATGTAACTAGAACCCTGACTTCTCAATCTCCAATTCCTGAGCTCCTTTCCCTACATACCTGTCACACTTCAAGATTATTCTTACTATTGCTCATCTTAAAAACTGCTATATGTCAAGCCATGCTGGGTTCTGAACTCTGTCGTTCTTTCTCTTTGCATTTAGGTTCCTAATATGGGGGCCTGGTCCCTCAGAACATGGACACACCTATCTCTCTAGAACCCCAGTACTCAATTGCTTTTATCTGCAGGGCTTATTCGTGGTACCATGCTTAGAACCGCATGGACATCAAATCTCTCAAGCCCTGTCTCATTCTCTTACCTCTTGATCACACCTTCTTTCTGTTTCTCTGTTTAAGCTTACCTACAAATCCCAGTTTTTCTACCTCAATCCTCACCTACTATTGCACAAGACCTGCTAGTGACTATTTTAATTTTCACCTAATTCTAATTATGTTTGCTTTCTGTACCTCCTCAGTACACACTGTTTGTAATGGATTCATTGGAAGCTTTTATCTTACATCCATATGGGTATATTCACTCTCCTCAACAAAATGCTTGAAGGCTGGTAACTTTACAGACAGTGGGTACTTAGTTCCTGAATGAGAAAACACTGAGTCTTATGAATATTTTTAGTTTCCAAGAATTTTCTAAATAGTAAAATAGGAGTTTAAGCTTCCTAAAAAATACAATCTTTAAGTTGGAAATAGAAAGTCGGTCATATAATTGGTTTAGCATTTTGTTGATTTCATTGCCCTCTTACAGACATTAACTAATTTAATCCATATAACAGCTTTATAGATGAAAAGAACTTTCCTCATTTCACAGATGAGGAAATTGAGGATCAAGGAGTTTATGAAACTTACATGATGTCACACAGGATATAAGGGTGAAGGCTGGGATGCAATTCATTTTCATTTGTTTCCAAAGCCTGAATCCTTTCCATAATGTAATTTCCTGCCTTTTATACTGTTAATAGTAGAGAAGTAATACCTTCCCTTCCAAGGTACAAACTATAGAAATGCAGTGGTGTGATTTAATAAGCTCCTCTAACGTGGCTGTTAGATTCATAGTGTCACGTAGGCTCACCTTAGCATACTTTCTTCTTAAATATTTCTCATGACCCTGGATCATGAATTTCAGATAAACAGTTAAGGGACAGGGACAGGTAAAATTCCCAATTATACCTGGGAATTTGAAATGTTTTATGATTTAATTGGTGGTTGGAAATATGTCTGTCCTTCATAAATGAGAAAAAAACACTATGAATTTTATCACATGTGGGGAAAAAACCATTATAAGTTTGAGAAGAGATTTTTCAATGTGGGATATGCAGCAGAACACAATTTAAATCCTCAGATAAATAATAGCAACAGTTATGATTTCTTGATGGTCTACTGTGTGCCACATATTTTACGAAGCTATGAATACTATAGATGATCTTATTTAAGCCTTACAATCATCCTATGTGGTACAAAAATAGATATTCTCTTTCAGAAAAAAAGAAACCAGATCTGATTTGTTCAGGTCTGTCTGACTCTGGAGACTGAACAAACTCTGTGGAAGGGGTGAGAGGGGCCTTACTTGTCTGCTGGGACTGGGTAGTCCGTAAGTTGAAAGATGACCTTCTTTGGTGAAGTACGTGTCAACAAGGTAATGACCCTCAACATAACTTGCTTCAAAATGGGAGAAGCATTTCCACACAATTGTTTATAAATAACATCCACAATTTTAGACACCTGGAAAAGCAATTTCACAGGTCAACAAGAGTCTCTAGTTGCACAGCCATCTCTAACCGAGGCATTTCTTAGACAAAAGAATTCAGTCTTTCTCAGAATGACCAAGGCAGCAATTAACATACAAATAAGCACTAGAGGAAAGCATATTTATGTGTATTACTACACAATGAAAATGTTTATTTGGATGAGAAATAAACATATGCATTTATTTTTTTCTTCCGATTTTATTGAGATATAGTTGTCATAAAGCACTGTATAAGTTTAAAGTGTATAGCATAATGATTTGACTTACATCGTGAAATTATTACCACAGTAAGTTTAGTAAACATCTATCACCTCATATAGATACAAAATAAAAGGAAAAGAGAAAATATTTCCTTATGAAGAGAACTCTTAGGATTTACTCTCTCAGTAACTTTCATATATAACATAAAGCAGTGTTAATTACATTTATCATGCTGTGCATTACATCCCTAGTACTTATTTATCTTCTAACTGGAAATTACCCCTCCCACCAGCCTCTGGTAACCACATATCTGATCTCCTTTTCAATGAGTTTGTTTATTTATTTTTGAAGTATAATTAACCTATAACACTATGTTAATTCCTGGTGCACAACATAGTGCTTCTGTATTTCTATACGTTACAAAATGTTCACCATGTTAAGTGTAGTTAACCATCTGTCATTGTGCAAAGATACTATATTATTCTTGATTTTATAAGTTTCCCACACTGTACATTTTGTCCCCATTACTCACCAGAGTCTATGTCTCCAGGTGAGTCCAAGTTGCCTCCTGCCTCTCTAGGAGGCTCTCCAAGATCAGTAAGTGGGTCTGACCCAGGCTCCTTTCAAATTACTGCTTCTGCCCTGGGTCTTGTGGAGCATGTGAGGTTTACTATGTCCCCTTTAAGAGTGAAGTCTTTGTTTCTAACAGCCCTCTGGCTCTCCTGAAAGCAAGCCCCACAGACCTTCAAAGCCAGATGTTCTGGGGACCCATCTTTCTGGTGCAGGACCCCCAGGTTGGGTAGCCCAATGTGGGGTTTTGACCCCTCGCTCCTTGGGCAGAACCTCTGAAATTGTGATTATCCTCCTGTTTGTGGGTCGCCTCCTTGGGGGTGTGGATATTGACTATACAGTGTCTCTGCCCTTCCTACTCATCTCATTGTGCTTCCTTCTTTACAGCTTTAGTTGTAGATTTTTTCTGCTAGTTTTCTGGTCTTTCTCATCAATAGTTGCTCTGTAAATAGTTGTAATTTTGGTGTACCTGTTGGAGTGGGTGAGCTCAGGGCCCTCCTATTCTGCCATCTTGGCTGCCTCCCAATCTATATGCATTTATGGATAGTGGGAGAATACCCATTTTTTTTTTTTTAAAAAGTTTATTTTGGATGGGTAGGCTTTATTGTATAAAACATATAAGCTCAATTCAAAAAGGATATGTACAATATAATTTGAGTCCTTTAAAAAGAAAGTCAAAATAATGGAACAGAATAACAAGAGAACAATATACTTCTGAAAACATTTTGACAATTAAAGGAGATATGAATCTATGTTTTGAAGGAGTGAACTATGTGTTGAGGGAATGGACTAGAATGGTAAAAACTGAATCATAATCTTTCAAATTTTCTTTATAGGCTCCAAGTTAGTTTTATTTTTTCTTTGTTTTCTGGCTGTATTCTTTTTTTAAAAAATTATTATTATTTTTAACATCTTTATAGGAGTATAATTGCTTTACAATGGTGTGTTAGTTTCTGCTTTATAACAAAGTGAATCAGTTATACATGTACATATGTTCCCATATCTCTTCCCTCTTGCGTCTCCCTCCCTCCCACCCTCCCTATCCCACCCCTCTAGGTGGTCACAAACCATTGAGCTGATCTCCCTGTGCTATGCAGCTGCTTCCCACTTGCTATCTATTTTACGTTTGGTAGTATATATGTGTCCATGCCACTCTCTCACTTTGTCCCAGCTTATCCTTCCCCCTCCTCATATCCTCAAGTCCATTCTCTAGTAGGTCTGTGTCTTTATTCCTGTCTTACCCCTAGGTTCTTCATGACCTTTTTTTTTTTTCCCCTTAGATTCCATATATATGTGTTAGCATACGGTACTTGTTTTTATCTTTCTGACTTACTTCACTCTGTATGACAGACTCTAGGTCCATCCACCTCACTACAAATATCTCAATTTCGTTTCTTTTCATGGCTGAGTAATATTCCACTGTATATATGTGCCACATCTTCTTTATCCATTCATCTGATGATGGACACTTAGGTTGCTTCCATGTCCTGGCTATTGTAAATAGAGCTGCAATGAACATTTTGGTACATGACTCTTTTTGAATTATGGTTTTCTCTGGGTATATGCCCAGTAGGGGGGTTGCTGGGTCATATGGTATTTCTATTTGTAGTTTTTTTTTTTTTTTTTGCGGTACGCGGGCCTCTCACTGCTGTGGCCTCCCCCGCCGCGGAGCACAGGCTTCGGACGCGCAGGCTTAGTGGCCATGGCTCACGGGCCTAGCCGCTCCGCGGCATGTGAGATCTTCCCGGACCAGGGAATGAACCCGTGTCCCCTGCATCGGCAGGCGGACTCTCAACCACTGCGCCACCAGGGAAGCCCTATTTGTAGTTTTTTAAGGCACCTCCATACTGTTCTCCACAGTGGCTGTAACAATTTACATTCCCACGAACAGAGCAAGAGTGTTCCCTTTTCTCCACACCCTCTCCAGCATTTATTGTTTCTAGATTTTTTGATGATGGCCATTCTGACTGGTGTGAGATGATAACTCATTGTAGTTTTGATTTGCATTTCTCTAATGATTAATGATGTTGAGCATTCTTTCATGTGTTTGTTGGCACTCTGTATATCTTCTTTGGAGAAATGTCTATTTAGGTCTTCTGCCCATTTTTGGATTGGGTTGTTTGTTTTTTGTTATGGAGCTGCATGAGCTGCTTGTAAATCTTGGAGATTAATCCTTTGTCAGTTGCTTCATTTGCAAATATTTTCTCCCATTCTGAGGGTTGTCTTTTGGTCTTGTTTATGGTTTCCTTTGCTGTGCAAAAGCTTTGAAGTTTCATTAGGTCCCATTTGTTTATTTTTGTTTTTATTTCCATTTCTCTAGGAGGTGGGTCAAAAAGGATCTTGCTGTGATTTATGTCATAGAGTGTTCTGCCTATGTTTTCCTCTAAGAGTTTGATAGTGTCTGGCCTTACATTTAGGTCTTTAATCCAAAAAATTATTATTGAAATATAGTTTGTGTTAGTTTCAGGTATACATCACAGTAATTCAGTAATTCTTTTTCACATTCTTTTTCCTTATAGGTTATTACAAAATGTTGAGTATAGTTCCCTGTGCTATACAGTAGATCCCTGTTGATTATCTGTTTTACATACAGTAGTATAAATATATTTGTCCCAACCTCCTAATTTATCCTTCCCCCCAACTTCCCCTTTGCTAACCATGTTTCGCTTTCTATATCTGTGAGTCACTTTCAACTTTGTAAGTTCATATGTATCTGTTTTTTTTTAGATTCCACATATAAGCGATATCACATGATATTTCTCTTACTTGTATGGTTTATTTCACTTAGTATGATAATCTCTAGGTCCATCCATGTTGCTGCAAATGGCATCATTTCATTCTTTTTTACGGCTGAGTAATATTCCATTGGATATATATATACCACACGTCTTTATCCATTCATCTGTCGATGGAAATTTAGGTTGCTTCCATGTCTTAGCTATTGTAAATGGTGCTGCAGTGAATATTGGGGTGCATGTTACTTTTTGAATTACAGTTTTATCTAGATATATGCCCAGAAGTGGGATTTCTGGATCATCTGGTACCTCTATTTTTAGTTTTTTACAGAACCTCCATACTGTTGTCCACAGTGGCTGCACCAATTTAAATTCCCACTTAGAGTGTAGGAGGGTTCCTTTTTCTCCATATCCTCTCCAGCATTTATTATTTGTAGACTTTTTTTTGAAATAAATTTATTTATTTATGTATTTATTTTTGGCTGCATTGGGTCTTCATTGTTGCATACGAGCTCTCTCTACTTGCAGTGAGCCAGGGCTACTCTTTGTTGCGGTGTGTGGGCTTCTCATTGTGGTGGCTTCTCTTGTTGCAGAGCATGGGCTCTCCTCTTGTGGGCTTCAGTAGTTGCTGCATGTGGGCTCAGAAGTTGTGGCTCACAGGCTCAGTAGTCATGGCTTGCGGGCTCTAGAGTACAGGCTCAGTAGTTTTGGTGCATGGGTTTAGTTGCTCCATGGCATGTGGGATCTTCCTGGACCAGGGCTTGAACCCGTGTCCCCTGCATTGGCAAGAGGATTCTTAGCCACTTTACAACCAGGGAAGTCCCTCTTTGTAGACTTTTTGATGATGGCCATTCTGAATGGTGTGAGGTGATACTTATTGTAGTTTTCATTTGCATTTCTCTAATAATTAGTGATATTAAGTATCTTTTCATCTGCCTGTTGGCCATCTGTATATCTTCTTTGGAGAAATGCCTATTTAGATCTGCCCATTTTTTGATTGAGTTATTTGTTTTTTTTGATATTGAGCTGCATGAGCTGTTTGTGTATTTTGGAAATGAAACTGTTTTTGGTTGCAAATATTTTCTCCATTCTGTAGGCTGTATTTTGTTGTACTTATGGTTTCCTTTGGTGTACAAAAGCTTTTACATTTAATTAGATCTCATTTGTTTATTTTTGTTTTTATTTCCATTACTCTAGGAGACTGATCTGAAAAGATATTGCTGAGATTTATGTCAAAGAGTGTTCTGCCTATGATTTACTCTAGGAGTTTTATAGTATCTGGCCTTACGTTTAGGTCTTTAATCCATTTTGAGTTTGTTTTTTTATATGGTGTTAGAGAATGTTCTATCTCACTCTTTTACATGTAGCTGTCCAGATTTCTCAGCACCATTTGTTAAAGAGATTGTCTTTTCTCCATTGTATATTCTTGTCTCCTATGTCATAGATTAATTGACCATAGGTGGGTTTAT